TTTGTCTCTTTGAATCTGAGACTAGGTATAGCACCTGGAAAGATAGAAATGGAAAGTCTTCCTTTATGCAAAGAGCTTCTCTGTCTGGTCTACAGAAAGACATTTTAAAACGTACTGTTGTTTTAGCTAAAATATCAAAACAGTCACTGTTTTTAAATTTGTACTTTCTCTAAAATCACAAAAGTTTTGACCGATGTTTTCTCAAGGCAATAACAGCTATCTGTAGCTGGCCATGGTTTCTATGTCCACACTTTCCAATTGAGTCAAGACTTTTGAGATCAGCAAGCCTTTTTCACAAAAAGCATGTCAATAAGCAGGGTTTTTTTGTTTAGCAATACCTTTTTCTTCAAAATTAAGTTAGTTTTTTTTTCTTTAGACTCATTTGTACAGATAAAGAAAATAACACCAAGTGCTATTCTGTAACTGACATCAGAAGAAATGTCAGTTTGCAAATGTGCTGAATTGTATGTAAGAATCATCCAAATCAATGAAATCTCACATGCTCTTATTTCACTGTTTTATCTGTCTGCTGCTAAACTGTTCTAAATTTAGTTTCCAGAGATCAGTTGAAGAGCATGTTGAATACTTCACGCCTGGCTGCTGGCTAACCAATGGTTTGAAGGATAGCTAATACACTAAAGATAAGGGCAAGATGTCAGCCTATCAAGAGGAAAGATGACTAACATATTTCTGAATATAGTCCATGATTAAGTGCATGTCATGTTTTCTGCTTCTTGAATTCTATAAAGTACAAATGCTATCTCCTACATCTAACAAGTCTTGTAGCCATATCAGTTACGCTATTAGTAAATTATATTTTTGAAATACAATGAGCACAGCTGGTGTGTTTATAATGGGGAAAAAACTAACTATAAATCAACAGCAACTCTCCTGCACTTTCGTTCTCGCTGACTGGAGAATACCACAGCAAAATACATGATTTGGACTAGTTGAAAAAATTGTAAAGTGGGAAGGAAGAATTTAATGAGAATTCTTATTTTTACAATTCATATTTTTAGTAAGAAAGTAACTGTAACAAGTACACCTTGTCTTGCTACTTGAAGAAACACAAAATCCCTGCTATCTTTAGCACCAAAAAGTGTAAAGGAAATGGGAAATTGGGCCTGATTTTGACTTCAAATTGTTGATGTCACTGCAATAGTAACACTAGAGTATGTAAAAGAGGACCTCTTGGGCTGAGTTAACTAACATTTATGCTTCTAACCTATCTTTTATATGAATGTGCTACTCGTAGACTAGTTTCTCAGGCCCCCTCTACACATTACAGGTATCACAGTTACTGAGTTAATTGCACAAATTACTCTGAGACCAGCTACACGTGCAAAGTAGCTATCGTGTTATAAAAGGCTCCAACCAGCTGTAAAATTAGACCTCAGCAATGTGTCCTAACTTCATAGCTGGTTGCTACTGAGCTTTAATTCACATGTGTAGCAGGGGGTGAATTAGATCCCATTACACATTTACCTGCCATGTGTAGAGAGGGTCTCAAAGATTAAAGAGCAGCACTGTGGTGATCACATTGCATAGGAGGAGTTTCAGGCTATATGTAGGTAGAAGTGCACGATTCTTAGTACTATGTCAAAAATTTGGAAGATGCCTTGGCCCCATAAAAGTGAAACCTTGATCAAGAAATAAAACTAAAACCCTCAATGTCCTCCCAGCTGTGTTAATAATGGCAAATGCAACAAATTGTTGTGGCAAAAACATTTTAATTGTTCTTCCTTCCTTTCACCATTTGAGTGTTTTATTATAAAGCACTTATGGTAATATCCTAGGGCTACAGATGGGCTTGACTGTGCTGCTCTATGCCAGGTATCCCCAACCCATTGCTTTCAGACAATACATTGCCTGCATGACCTTTCTGAAGTTGCTTACAGCAAATTATAAAGTTAAAACTGAGGTTAAAAGGAGGAGCACAGTATGAAATGGCCAGCATTGCATTTCTTGCTCAGGTTTGTTGCTGCTTTGGTGGAAGTTGTGGGTCTGATGTAGACTCTGTACAAACATAAAAATTCAGGTATAAACTGCTCTAAAGACCCTATTGAAAGATGTGCTGCTGTAAGCTGCTCATGGCTCGGTACTGTTGGCAGCCACACATAGCCCTGTTGACTTAGACTCCCATGTACGTAGATGTGTCTGTCAGTGTGAATCAATAGGCAGGACCTGGCTTCAGAGTATAATGTTATTCTAAAAGCTGAAATACTTGAACTGGCTGGACTCCCATAAAGCACAAAATACAAGTACTGAGGCTAAGTGGATTATCTTTTGTGATACAAGATCCATATGAATGTTACTGATTCAAGAATCTATATTTCTGACACAAAGTAAGGTGAAAAGATGGAATCATGAAGCATGGTAACCATAATCGTTCTGATACTGCATCATTCTTATGCTACTTCATTTCCCCTCCCAAAAACAAACATAGGTCTGATTGTCTTAGCATAATTATGCAAGGTGTCATGGAGTGGGGCCTACGAGCGGCCGTGCTCCCACTAGCGCCCCCTTGCCGTGGCAATTAGGAGATCAGCACCCTCTTATTCTCACCTGCCACGTCTT